AAACCAAAAAAAAATAAAAAATAAAAATAAAACTAAGATCACTTGGGGCTGGGGATTTAGCTCAGCGGCAAAAGCGCCTGCTTGGCAAGCGCAAGGTCGTGAGTTCGGTTCCCGGTACCGGAGAAAAACCAAAAAAATAAAATAAAAATAAAAAAAATTAAAAAATAAAACTAAGATCACTTAACAGAAGAGTGAAAATTCATGCAAACTACCGTAATGTGAAACATCCTAAAGATAAACAAATGCACATGCTCATCTTCAGCTAAACAAAGGAATCTGAGGAGGCTCTCAGCAAACAACCTCTTTAATATTTTATGTGAACCCAAACCAACTGTTTCAGCAACGTTAAATTATCTTTGAGAAGCAATCACTACACGCAATATTTTAGGCTTGCAGTCAGCAGCCTTTCTTCTTGCTGCTGTTTGCCATAAGATGAGGGATCCATGCTTAGTTATTTTTATTTAAAAGATTCTTAACATTTCTATTTAAATTTACTTCTCTAACAGTTTGAGTATTCATTAAATATGGAAAGAAGTTTGGGTTATGCAAAGAGTGTATCTCAAGTAAAATGTGTCAGAAAACATCATGGAACTCTCAAGCAGACGTGCTTCGCCATTATTCATTACCGGGCTTTTCTTCGAGCCCGCTTTGTTCACTGTCTGTACACTGCTACTGACTCAAGTGCGCAGTCTAAATATCTCTTGAAATCAACACCAGCTCATAAAGCAAATACTCATGAGCGCCTGGGAATGGCAGCACACACCTATAATCCCAGCACTTGGGAGGCTGAGGCAGGAGGATCATTGAGAGTTTGAGACCCGCCTGGGCTACAAAATGAGCTCAAGACCAGCCTGAACCTGCATAGCAAGACCCTGTCTCAAAAAAAAACAAACAAACAAACAAAAAAACTCATGAGCATTTGCTGGTCAGTCTTTATATAGTTGTTTAAATCATGAGAAATAATATATTTTATCATCTAACCCTTGGGAGCCCTCTTTAACTTCAAAATCCAGTTGATCTCAAAATAGTACATCAACTGACACCGTAACAATGTTATACTGTGACAGTGTAACAGTGTGTAAAAGAATACATTTACCCTCCATGCTCGGATGGTCACCCTCACTGCCAAGGCAAAAATGCCATGAATAAGAAGTGCCACGAATAAGAAGTAATATGAGTAAACAGAGATTTTCATCACTCTTACAAACTCAGCACTAAAGAAACAGACTTTATGCATGTAGACTACACACAAGCCTATTCAAAAAAGATCCTTTTTAAATGTTTTTACCGTTTAAATGAAAGTGATTTCAAACTCAGAGAGAACAAGAGTAGGTTCAGAAAGCCTCTTTATCCATATCACGTATTTGTTGGCATTTCACAAAATGGGTCTTTTGGGTATTTTGGGAGTTCCAAAGAACACATTCAAAAGTCATCAATACAGAACGTCAATGAGTGAATTCGGAGTACTGACCTAGGATCTGAACAGAGGCCACTGTGTAGGCAACAATACACAGCAACATAATCTCAGTCCTTGAAGAGCCATGCAACCCCATGGGATAAGTGGAGTTATGAATTCAATGACAGGGGAACATATATCCACCAGCCAACCAGAGGCAACGATCATCGAGCTGACAGGACAATGACAGGACGTAAAGCACGAATCTGATATAAACCCATGGGAGACCACAGACTTCTCCGTCGAAGCAGGTTTTGAGTTAGACCTGAAGTGAGAAAGCTGATACAAAGGGAAAGAACTGATCAATCCATGCCAAAAAACGGAGCGTCCAGAGACATAGACGCGGTAGTACTTGAAGGTGGGGAAATGAGTCAGATATGCTTCCTACGATTTCTAAGACATTTGTTTGAAAGGAAAAAGAAAAATTTGAACTCATATTGCATATGCGATCACAGTTATGAACCTAGAGACAGACACACAAGTAACACCTTCAACCTTAGTAGCCTGTGAACTAATCCACAGAGCTTATGTGGCTTTTACATTAAGAATTTATAATAAACAGGGAAAGATGCAACTTCCTATTAAGGGAAAATGTCCTTATAATTTAGGACTCAATAGAGCTACCTGTAATAAGGTTTAACATGACAATACACAGAGCAACACTAAGATTCTATCTCAAAATAAACAATTAACTGCTTTCATAAAACAAGGCGGAATTTTTCCCTTCTAATACTAAGAGTATTTTATAGATCTTATTCGCAGAAACCAACTATTCACAGGGGAACAGGGATTTCATCAGTGAATCAGGTGACAGTCTCACCTGTTAACAGATATTCGCACGCAGACGGATCCGGAGGACCCAGCACAAACACAAAGGCCAGCTGTGGTTCCCACACGTACCTGCAGCTGCTGCCTGAGCTCCTGGGCCAGGACGCTGTCCTGAAGCGCGTTCTCCCGCTGAGAGGCGTCCGCCAGCATGTTCACCGTGGTCTCCGCCTCCTGGACCCACTTCAGCAAGTTGTCCAGGTCCCGGCGTGAGGCCTGCACTGTCCTCAGCTCAGCCTCCAGGGCACTCTGTCTATCAGCGACGCTGAAAGAAACAACAACGTGACATGCGGGCTCCGTTACTTCCAGGGTGACGTTCCTCATCATGTCCAGCCTATGGAAAAGCCTAGTGGACAGCTCCGAGGGGACTCTGGTTTACATCACCACGTGTCACTTGGGAGATTTGCTCGCATGTATGTCTAGCTAGAATCATTCTCAGCAAAGCAGTTCTCAATTGTTCGAAGGCAGAAGAGACATAAGTAATAACAAAATCACATCCATATTCTGACATAATTATGACGACAATTTCCATCTCATTCTGTGCATGGAGTTCCTCCCCCACACATGTGCCAGTACCTTGGTATAATGCCAAACACTCTGAGGTAGCATCAGCAAAGGTTCATGCAGTCCGTGACTACATGAAGTCTAGAAAGGAGGAAAATCTGAGGAAACATCCAAGATTAAATAGATAATTTAGGGTCAAGCATGGTAGCACAGGCCTGTAATACCACTACCCAGGAGGCTGAGGCAAGGGGATCGGAAGTTCGAGGCCAGCCTAGGCAAGTCCCTGTGTCAAAAAAAAAAAGAGGTGCTATGCCACTGGGGACACAGCTGAGTGGCTTGCCTACTCTGCTACACACAGGGCCTCGGGCTACATCCCCAGCACTGTCATGATAAAAATTTAAAGAACCCACTTTACATATCTTTAAACAATGCAAATCAATACAAGTTAAGATTTGATTTAATGGACATTCTGGAATGTCATCAGCCTTAGCCCAGCATTTGCTTAGTAAAAAACCTCCAGTAATGTTTGACTGCCTACAAAATAAATTCATATTACCTCACGTGCAGTGTAAAGCCCTTTGTGGGCTCTATGGTTTACTTCTCTATCTCTAGTTTTCTCCCATATACTTCTCAGGTAACAGGGGTATCTACTGCTTTAGATAATGAAAACTGTGTCTGTATAAAAATTTCACATCCTTATTAAAGCGCCCCTTGTATCATCCCCACCTAATAAATTCCTCTGAGTTCTTTAATGACTGAAAACCAACTCTTCCAGAAAATTCCACCCCAATTAGATTTCTTTCTTCTGAGTTCATAGAAGGGTAGTATTTCTCTTTATACTGAAATTAATCACATGTGTTCTGAAAAAGCCCCTGGATTTTGATCTTGTCTCACACCTAAATTTTATTTCAACAATAAATAGATTTCTTATCCACTTTTTCTATGGGCAGAAATGGTTCTCCACACTCCTCAAGAGGCCTTATGACAGAATTATCATTAAGTATTTATAGAATAATGACAATCTATTTATAATAACATGTCTTCTAGATTTTCTCCCATAGACTATTTTCTAAGAAGTTCACAGGAGATGAAATCCACAAAATTCGAGCTGTAAATCAAGAAGGAGGAAGACAAGGGAAGGATTAAAAACAAGAAAAACGCAACACCACCAGCAGAAGCCTGGAGGTTCTTATGCTCATGGCAAATGGAGATCACAGGAAAGACAGTGTGAATTAGAACTGGAGCATATGAGGGCCGTCATCACTCTTCCTGTTGTGTATTCTTGTTTTCACTTGACAGAACTTACAAAGGACACACTCAAACAAAATGAGGAAAAACCTAAAAAGACAAACATATGAAATCCAGGAAACAGAGATTCCACATTTGAGGAAAAGTGAAGAAAATGACCAGTAGGGTGGCTGGACAGGACTAGAAAGTGGATCTCCAGAAGCGACATCTCCAGAATAAAAATACTAAACGTGACAGGCTGCTTAATGTGACAGACTTTGCAGAAAATTCTACTGTCAGGCCATGGGAAAACGTGAGAAGAATTACCAACAGAAGCAAAGGAAACTAGGCGTACAAGAACACAGCAATGACTAATTTCAGGTAAAACGAACAGCAAAACTACAGTAAACTTTAGTACTTGGCTGTTAATACAGTTTGAACATGAATAGTAAGTTAAAGCTAGATATTTACCTAAATATCCAGTGACGAACAAGAGCAGGGAAAAGTAGCATAAGAAAGCTATTTCCTATATATGGACTAAAATAGGATGACGGTACAAAGTGCCTAATGTCAGATACTAAGATAATTGCGTACTTACTCATTTTATTTAGAATACGGAAATGGATAAATGACATAAAGAGCAACTAAGAAAGGCAGTCGTTGTCCCTAGGGAGGAGGACTGCTATGAAGAAGGAGAAAAAAAATATATTTGGTAATAAACCTTCCAGTATGCTTTGGGTTTTTTAAAAAAATCATATTTCTTTGATTTTTATACAGAACATGGGTGGTAGGTGGTGGTGGTGCTGTCTCACCCTCTCCGAATCCTGCCCAAATTTTCAATTTTTGAAAACATCAACAGAAAGCAGAGTTACGAATAAAATAAACGCTGTGCCAAAAAGATGCAAGAAAGCAAATAAGAAGTGCGCACATGCAATTAACCCTCCATGAGCAGACGATCCCTACTGTAAGAACAATCACATTCAGTAAAGTCATTTTTCATAATTAAAACCTTTATTATTTGAAACTATCCAAAGGTACATAACAGGTTATGCAGCAACTGCTAATGTAAAAATAGATCGTTACTGACGAGCTCGCTAAACCCTAGGGATACCTAGACAAGGGGAAAAAAGGCAAATGTCTAGGAACTGTCAGGGTGGAGGCAGGGAAGTCCCTAAACCCAGGAGACATTTACAAACCCAACAAGTAGAAAGGAACAGGAGTTTTGCATCAGGTAACACAGGGCTCTACTACTATTTACCCAGGAAAACCTGAGAAGCTGCCTTGACACCCGCAAACCTCCTCGCCATCGTCCCTCTACTTGGCACCCAAGGTGCTCCATGCCCTGACCCTCGCTCATCACCCCAGTGACCACCTCATCACGCCAAGGCTCACACATTATTTATCTACAGAAATGAACCAACCACAATCCTCCAAAAGTTCACTGTGTCCGTCACATCCAGAGTTGACACATTAGTCCTTTTAACTTTTAGATTCTCTTCCCCGTTCCTGCCTCCAGGTTCCACAAACCTTCTCCTTCCCTGATGAAGTTCTACTGCCCCGACAGGAAGTGGTGCAAACACCTGATGACACCTTTCTCAGAGCACCCCATGAGTTCCCCTACCATGATCATTATTGTCCCACGGCTGCTGTAATAAATCACAAGTTCAGCGGCTCCAATTAACACAAATGTAGTATCTTGTGTAGGTGAGTGTCTGACACAGGTCTTTATTAAAATCAAATCACACTGTCAGCAGAGCTACATCCTTTTCTGTAGGCTCTAGGGGTGAATCTGTTTTCGTGCCTATTATGACTTCAAGTGGCCACCATAATCCTTGGTTCCACCATCAAAGCCACCAACAGCGGGTGAAATCCTCGCACCACATCTTCCTGACCCACTTCTCTTCCCCTCCTCCATTTTGAAGGATTAGAGGAATAAGATTGGACCCACTGGATATGCAGGTTATTATTCTCACTTTGGGGGGCCACTATTCTGCCTGCCTCACTGTGTCTCTGGTTATGGCTACAAGTACCTCTTTTTGGCAGCAGAAAGCTTCTGAATGATCACTGCACCTGGCACCCCCAGGCTCTATGCACAGTCGCAGCTCAACAAGTATTTATTGAATAAACTAGCATAAGGAAAAGAATAACACTCCCTCTGCAGTGATATTTTAAGAAGAAAATGAAGTATATGCACATAAACCTATCAAGATATAATAAATACTCACTAAATAATATTTCCCCAATCTTATACATGAACCTGGTAAAATACTGGGAAATGAAGAGTGCTTATAACATGCAAATGTGCAATTTAATAATAAATATTCTGGAGACTGTTTTAACTTCACATGTATCCAGTGTCAAAATTTTACCATGAACTTAATCAACTACTAAAGATAACGAACATAATGAAAACTAAACTCAACTTATAGCAGTCCAAATCCTCTTCATATTATTATAATGAATAGACACTTTAAAATTTAGAATCAGGGGCTGGGGTATAGCTCATTGATAGAGTGTTTGCCTAGTGTACACACATAAGGTCTTACGTTTAATCCCTCTCACTGAAGAAGGGAAAAAATATGATCATTATATAGATAGAGACATTTGTATTATGATTTTTGAAACTAATGTAATTTATATGAAATTTCTAATAGAATATAGTTCAACTGTACTAGTTCTCCCAAGCCCCTAATTTATTATTTTTTGTTAGATCCAAGACTACAGAATGGTATGCTGAATATTACAGAAATCTTTCATCTATTTTCAAGAAATTTCACATGATTTATCATAGAACCATAAGGCAAAAATGATTAAAATTAAATGCTCAGGAACACATATGCACACTTACCACACAGGTCAATAAATTAGCTTTAGTGCCACTTGTACACTGCTCGCAGAAGAAATCAACCTAATTCCATCACCTCTGTCATTTACCAGCAATATGGCTCCGAGTAAATCATTTCAAATCTCTAATTTGTGTTTTTTATCGTTAACATTAGGAGCTTGGACTCATGCAGTAAAATACCTATTTCAAAATCTCTAGGGGTCCTTTTAAAACTGCATAATCTATCACAGAGATTATAAAACCTGCTGCAAGAGTTTCTCTAGGCTCACCCCACCCCTAGTTTCAAATTCAGCTTCATTAAGAGCCTTTGCTTATAAATGAACTGTTACTGATAGGAACAGGTGAGCAGCATGGGACAGCAAAGAGGTTGAGAAGCATCCATGTGGACGGTTCCTAAAAGTATTTCCAGCACTGAACTCATATTAATCCACAATCACAGGGTGGATGTTATATTTAGCAGTTCTCGCTCCTACATCCCAAAGACAGATCAGAACAGAGTTGGAAGAAATCCTGAGACATGATGACAGAATTAGGAAAAGGAGCACTATTACAGGAAAAGAAACAACTTCTTAAGTTTAGGAAATGTGTGGCTAAAAAGGCAAAAGCAGAGAAGATACCTGTAAATCTTTTTTTACTCTATAAATCACAAAGACTAAGGATAGGCCGAAAACCTACAATATATCACATTT